AAGGAATTAACGATAGCATCAGCATCGATCACCCCAAAGCCGTGTATCCTGAAGAAAACCATGTTCATGTCGATTTTTCTTCTGTATAATCAAGAGACGCGAATCCCGCATTCACGATCCTCACCCGATAACCAACAATCACGATGACACTTCGATGATATCTGACAACAGACTCAAAACAACGCGTTTTGGAAGAAGAGTAAGCTTTTTAGAACATCTAAAGCATTACTGCACGTGAGACATTACATAACACTTTGTTAACTCTCGATTTGTTTATTGTAGCACGACGCAACCTATTTTTAATATGCGTATATACACATATTTTTCCAGATGGAAACATTTTTGCGGCTCATATGCTTGCTTATATGTGTATATTACTTTTTCAGAAACACCAATCTGCAAAAATGGTCTCACGCTATTCACCTGTTTCTTGTTCTTACGCACATACAATATGCATTCACATAGCCTTACATTCTTTTCCAGGAGAGCTGGAAAAGATGAAAAAACAAAGAAATTCACCATGATTCAAAATTTTCATTGTATCCATCTCTTCATTATTATATTGCAACACATAACCCCTGATAGTAAGGAAAGAAGACCAGAAGCTGCTGAACATATTGCGCCGACATCAGAGTGTTTACCAAAGACAAACTCGTTATGCTTACACTTCAGGCTAGCTACGACTTATAGTGATCACTATCACACTGGAGAGGAATGATCTGTAGTGATAAATACATACACAAAATCAATAAATCTCTAAGTATTCTGCACTTGATACCAACCACAATGGTTTTAATGGAATCACCCAGCTGAAGGCGCTCTGTCACGCATTCGGTTCAGATCACGAGTGGGTACGCTGTGCTCAACTTCCACTACAACCGCTAGCTAGCATAGATCAGTCACTTCTCGATATAGTGATAGCCTATTCAAAATATCTTCGAATCTCTTCGCTTCTGAATCCCGATTTCACTGTGTTGTCACGTTCCGATTATCGAAAGTGTTACTGTTTAAGGTGTGAAACTCCAAATACTCGTGGCATCTTTACAGGTATTGGCTGTGTCTGCAGCGAACTGGGAGCCATCATGAGTCTTTAATACCAAAAGAACAACCTCCTGACTATAATCCATTCCTTATGCTTGGATTGTCAAGTCTGAATTCGGCAAAGTTGTAAAAACATTTGGAGTTACTTTGAAAAATAATCAATAACCACAAATGTATATTATTTGCGTAGACATCGACTACAGTAGTTTGCATGAATTCTCAGTCAGGCCTCAGACGATACTGACCATGGAGTCCACTTCGGGGGATGATTTATCAGCTTGTGACATCTTCCACAATTGTTTACTGTTCGACATATATAAGCTAACAAATTGATTTAACATGGCTTGTAAGAGCACTTTGGCATACGAATCCGTATTTTATTGTTATTTTACCTCGTGTTTGAGCAACGTGCAGTCGGCAATCATCGTATGGATGTAAGTTTCGTGAGCAAAAACGCCTACCTCATATGCACTCGAACCTCTGCCCTCCTGAATGCTAGGCCAAAAACTCATTCAATAGACCACATCAGTCTACAGTGGATGTGACTGTAGTGTTTCCTTACACTGATCAGTTATTCATGATGTTCATGACTAATAGAACTCGCACACTTGTAAGTTGCAGACCAACACGTTACCCAGGTGACTGGAGGAGATGTAGCTTCAACGTAATATGCTTACTAACATCAAGCCACCAAATGGTCACGGAAATAAAAAACCTATTCGATCCTCGTACTCTTCGTAATTTTCCTTTTCTCCTTGACTGTATATTCTACTTGATGAGTACTCCCATACACCCGCAGCTACGAACCCGGTCATCACAAATTCAAGCTCATATAAGCAGTCGAGTTTGGTGAGGAGTCCAACTTCTGACAAATTGACACATTTACGCACATACATTTTCAAGTCCTTTCGTACACAAAATGTCTACACCGTTTCTTCTTCCTTCTAGACTATCAATCCATTCTGGAAGCCAAACACTTACGTGGAACCGAACAATTATCAGTTATATTTGTGTAGTTCCTTTTTGTGGTTCGTACAACAACTTTCTCTGTCCCGACCATCAGTATAAGATTTCTTCCGAAAAACCATTTTTCATACTTCTTCCACTTGTTTTTTCAAATTTTGTAACTTTGTTTCTGTTGCCTTTGGACTTTATAACTTATCATCACTCATCTCTTGATTCTTGCGCAATTATGATTCTATAGACCATCCATTAAAAAATTGTGTTCCTTCTCTTTTCATATATTACGCAACGTAGCAACTTCGAGATTTAATATATACATTGTTTATTATTAATCCTCTTTCTTCCAATTTAAATTTCATTATTTAGTTAATACGTAACGTATCCAGTCGATGAGTATTATATCATTAATATAAATCATCTATATTAGTGTAGAGCCATGATAAAAAACTAATTGAAAAGAAATTTCTTCGCTCAATTTGTTCCTTCCTTATTTATCAAACGGCGAAATGGGAGTTTTCACTTGGTATTGTTTGGCTTGAATCTTCCCATTGAGGTTTAGGACTACGATTGATCAGTCTGTTATCGGCATATGTGCATACTGTGCGTATGCCTCGATATTGCTTTAATTCACAAGCTTTTAATAAACAATGCTGTATAAAGTCCAACAAGGAATCCAGAACACGGGTTTAGTCGTATTTGGGACTTGTCAGCTGGATGTACCTGCATCTCATAGTTGATGTTCACTATGGGACTCGAACCCAATACCACTCGATTCAAACGCCATCGCGTTAACCATCATTGCTCACAAAAAGCTTGTGCATTAAGGCAATATCGAGGCATACACACAGTATGCACATATGCTGATAACAGACTGATCAATTGCAGTCTTAGACCTCAATAGAAGATAGAAGTCAAACAATACAAAAATGAACTTGAATTCACCCCATTGCACAAGGAAGTGGCTATCAGGACTTAGTAGCTGAGTAGATAACGCGATGGCGTTTGAAGCGAATGGTACTGAGTTCGAGTCCCCGAGTGAACATCAACTCTGAGATGCAGGTACATAAATCTGATGAGTCCGACATAGGACGAAACGCGAGTCTTGGATTCCACTACTAGCCACTACCCATCATTGCTTAGATAAAAAGTGAAGCTAATAATTTAGAGCTTCAAGATCACCTGGAGAAATAATCTAAATGGTCTCAAACATGACAATTGCTGACAATGATTTCTAAGTGCATTATGGTGAGTATTTGTTACAAAAGCACAGGTACATACACAGAGACTAATAGCGAGCTGCCCGTCATCACTAGCCCATACGAAAAGACTACTGAACACTGCCATGTGATAGCAGCCTAAGGTTTTAGGACTCTATGGTCAATATGCAGGAACTTTTGCCATACCGATGCTAGAAACTTTGTGACTTTGTATACAGTAGTTGTCCATCTTAAACATGTGTACTGTAAACAGGCAACTGACTGCTGCCTGAAAAGAGACAGTGAGCTGTTGGAAAAGGTTCAAGGAACAGCAAGTGAGCTGATCTCCAGAATAGAAAAACTCCCGTATGATGTTCAACAGAGCAAACTCAACCTATCTCCATTGTCATATAGAAGAACCAGACGTGATTTGTTCACTGTTTTTAGGTTACTTGGTGATGAATTTGCATCCGATATGATAAGAGTAAGGGTGAACTCAAAGTTATCTAGCTGAGGAACTGTGCTTAGTGGAGTGCCTCAGTGTACAGTTTTGGGGCCAGTGCTATTCCTCTTGTATGTAAATGACCGTCCTCGTCTCCTATCATCATCATCGGTCTTGCTATATGCTGACGATGTCAAGATATGGAGAACGATACGATGTGAGGGTGATGGCTTAGAACTCCAAAATGACCTGACGAAGGTATCTGAATGGTCTCAAACCTGGCGGTTGCCGATAAATACTTCCAAGTGTGTTGTGATGCATATCGGTCATCAAGGTACAGATACATACACGATGAATAACACTGAGCTACATGTCGTCCAGACACATAATGACTTAGGAGTGATCGTTAGCCAAGACTTAACGACTACTGCACACTGCCGTGCAATAGCCGCCAAAGGTGTTAGAACGTTATGGTCAATACGTTAGGCTTTTAGTCATGTCGTCGCTAAGACGTTTTTGACTTTATATACAGTGTTCGTACGTCCTAAACTTGAGTACTGCATACAAGCGGCCAGCCCCTGCTTAAAAAGAGACAGCGAGCTTCTGAAAAGGGTTCAGAGAACGGGAAATAAGCTGATTCTCGGAATAGCGAAGCTTCCGTATGAAGCTCGACTGGCCAAGCTGAACATTTTCCCGTTGTCATATCGCAGAACTAGAGGCGGCTTTATTACAGTTTCCAAATTGCTTAGTGCCAAGTTTACACGTGATATGCCTTCGTTTTTCTTATCTTCCAAAACAGAGAATTTACGAGGACACTCCAATAAGTTTACAAGCCAAGAACAAATTACTTGTCAGCTGACTATCGACCTCAACACGTGGTTGAGGCTCCATCCGTCGATTTTTTCAAAAGAAAGTTGGATCAACTGAGGGACCACCATTGCCAGAATTAACACAGGCCATCAGGCCTCCTGTCTTTTACAAACTGAAACTGAATCTGAGTTTACAGTTTCAATTATGTCGACTATGTAGACTCATTTCGAAAACAGACAGTTCAAGAGGACACTGAAATTGTTCACAAGCCAAGGGCGAATTACCTGTCAGCTGACTGTTGCCTTTCTCATCGAATCATCAACGAACATTATTGAAGCTCCATTTGTCGGTGCTTTCAAAAGAAAGTTGGATTAACTGAGAGACTACCATTATCCTTCCTGTTTATTTTTTCGCTTTTGTCTGTTCTTCTAGCCTTTTTTACTTATGTGGCGTCGATTGTTTATTTCTTCTAGACACATAAGGGGAAAGCTTCCCTAATATCATTTAAAACAGTCTGAGTCATTTTGGAGTTTGAAGGTTGTTTGATTGACTTCAAGTGTTGAGCGGTTGGTAGAATGTGGTTGTTTGTTGGGAATGTATGTAGTGTTTCTTAGTTTGTGTGAACACTCGGATATCGAAGCTCAGTAACTCAGCTGCTGGGTATGTATAAAATCATTTTTACGATAATTTGCACAAGTGTTTTTCAATTTGCCGTGATCGAAACATGGACTTAAGCACAAGATATATCCTAGCTCATTAGTAGTTTTTGAAACAAATTGGTATACCTGGGGTATCGTTTGCCTTTTTGGGAATCCATTGATATATCCCTAGTTGAAGTGGGATCGAGCGGGTGATATAGCCAGGTTCGTTTCTTTGTTTGGCTGACTTGTAAGTGGTGCTGGTTTTGTATTTGTCTTAAGGTGTGTAAGCTTCTATACAAATTAATGTATTCGTCTTAGAGAAATTATTTTGAAAAGATTTGCTTGGTCAAAGTAAGTCTTAAATTGGGTCGTCAGTTTTACTATTCTTAATTAGTCGTTTATGAAAATCGCCATTAGGAAAAGGAATCTGCGAAAGCTAGCTTCCATAGTTTCCTTTCCTTCAACATTATTTTCACTTAACCACCTCACCCTTTATGTCTCTGCTATTTGGCTGTGTCTTCAGCAGCGGTTGCTGAAAATCAGCTGAGGAGTAAGCAGTATTTTACCGTGTATTTGGCGTTAATATCCACTCGACTAATTTAGGGCTAGCGATACCGGTCGGTAGCTGGAGAGGTTTTATGGAAGGTTTCAAATATGTAGTTCAATTGCTCTAGGTATCGTGCTGGCCACTAACCAATTGCTCTAGATATGCTCACGTCGATGTTATTAAATGATCTAATGCATACATACTTCATAAAAAGTGGTTGTCTCCCTTACTTGAAAGATTTCTTCTGATTGTACCTTTCCGTTCCCTCGTTACTACCACACTACCTTACACCAATCTCTTCGTTATCGTTCTCTTTTTCTTTTGTGCTCCTTAGTTTTCTATATCTCTTCGAATTTTCATTGTTTTGTGTGGCGCATATATATTGGCGCTCTCTTGTACCAATATTTATGTGTTCAAATAAATAAATAAATAAATGTGCCCAGTAAATGCGTAACAAGATAGGTTACTACAAGTTTCGTTGAAAAGTCGATTATTAATCACAATCTAGAAGGTTTTACAACGGTCAGGTAAAATGCAGTAACTTCAGTAGAATTCGGCACAATGACTCAGTATCTCAGATTGAATGAATACATAAATAAAATATGACACCACAACAGTAACAAGGATTTACCAGAGAAATAATGCTTTTTGTTGTTAATTTTAAGGGCGGTTTGATCCACGTAATCTACCACTGAACACATTTTATTGTTTTGTCAATAAGCTCTGTAAATAAACCTATTGTTTCTACCTTAAAATCTAACACTAAGCACGCACTAAATTCCTAACTGCACTTACAGTATCAATTGAACTTGAGTAGATTGAATAGCTGAATACTCCAATGTCTTACTAATGACTGAAAGCTATTAGTTGTTATCAGCTTTTTTTAACGTCTGAAGTGTATACCGCAATATGAAGTCCTGCAGTCTAATGAATATAGTTCTAAACGTGATAGATCGAGATTCAACATCGCAGGATTTCGAGAGATAACTAATGGTGATCATTAAATGCATTTCGATCGGTATATTTTTTCTTCATTGATTTCATTGTTGTTTAAGTAATACAGCAAGCCAAAAAACAGGCGTTCAAATCTAAAGTAAAGTGTGTTGTTAAGATCTCAAGATATCCGAGTCACCTTTTAAACAGAGGCTTGCAACCTAGACTGAGTTTCCAAGTTTGGATCTCAGTAAGATTGTTTATACTGTAGTGAACATATTAGTATCTAACTTGGTAAACGTCTGTCTTAAAGCCCATAGTGTTTTGAACGCCTCAGTTTCTACCTCTAGGTAGTGGACCGTGGTCTTAAGATCATGGCTGATTTTCATCTGAAGATCCAGACTATGGGCGCTGACTTCCCCTGTGCTATATATATTTACATTTGTATCCGCAATGTGCATGTAAACATACTTAGTCACATTGATAGGCACCAACCATTTTTTAGACCAGCTAATCATAACATCTGAGTCTGGCTGAAGTGCACATGCATATACGCCTCCTATTACTTGACTCGATTTTTGCATCAGCGTATAGTAGCATAGATGACTGAGCCATAATTGGGAGTTCATTTACATACGGTATAAAAAGTAAAGGACCTAGGACAGAGCTTTGCAGTACTCCACTATGTACTGGTTTCCAGAAGGAGCATTTGAAATTCATCCTTTCTGTCTATGACCTACCAAGAAATCCTTGATCTACCTTGGGTGAGGTCCGGCAATTCTTGAATTTTCCAGCCTTAAGAGTAGTTTATATTTTTGGCACCTTATCAAATGCTTTGCTGAAGTCTACGTAAACAACATCCACTAATTTTCTATTATCTAGAGCCTTTGTTCTTTGATCTCGATATAACGTGGCTTGTTGTGCAAGATCATCTTTCCTTGAAACCATGTAGTTTGCTGTTTAACTAGTTGTTGGTTTCCACGGATGTTATTATGGTCTTTCTGATTATCCTTCTAACTACGACACTGGTGAAGCTAACAGGTTTATAATTTGATGGGAGTTGTTTCGACCCTGTTTTGTCCTTCTAGTTCGTAGGTAACTCACCTTGGCCAAGTGACATATTGATTATCGTAATCAGTTATAGTATCACTATTGTTTTTCCCTAATAACAAAAGGCATTTCATATTATTAATTTTAGCAGATCACAGAAAAGTAACAAAGATGCCTAGTGTGACTACAACAAGTACTGTCAGTTCATCAGGAGTTCGTTTAATGCGTAAAACTTCATGTACTGGTACCAACGATCAAGCTACTAATTCTTCGTTTCAACATAATCCTGACAGAAAATCACTAAGAGATCAACCAAATGTAGGGAAATATAAGTTAATTCGTACACTTGGTCGTGGTAATTTTGCAAAAGTCAAATTAGCACAACATGTTTCAACTGGGCGTGAAGTGAGAATTCGAACATTATTTATTTTTACAGATTATGTTTTATGAAAATCACTTAGGAATTTTCTAATTCAATTTGTATATTAATTTGAATAGTTTTTCTCTAAAATTGATATTCGCTTGAATATAGCTCGTTGAAAATAAGTCAGTGTTAATCAACATAAGGTATTCAAGTATTCCATTCGATTTATATGCAGACGAAATTATAATTGAAATGCAAAGTAGAACAGTATCCTACCTTGTTAACTCACTTCAATCCATCGTATATGTAGTTGATCATAGACAAACAACTTCATCATGCAGAAGTAGTTTCTGATTATCATTTCAAATTTCATTACCAGTTTGATTTGAACTACTTATCAGATTACTGTATAGATTGAAGACTTCTCAAATTTGTATGGTAATCATTGTTTATGCTTAACCAGTTATTTATTTATTTTTATTTTAAGAAACTAAAACCTCCCCCATTATATTATTGCAGGTTGCTGTGAAAGTGATCGATAAAACTCAGCTTAATCAGGCCAGTTTGAAGAAGGTAAGTTAATTAATTAATGTAATAATAACATGCAATTCATTTACTGAGTACATATTTATTTTTTCAGCTTTAAGTTACTCTAGATAGGAGGATGGTGATTTTATCCGACTGGTCAAACTGAAGTTGAACTTGAATTTGTAACTTACTAATTGAAAGTTATTAGTCTGTCATCTCTCCTAATAACTTCAATCAATCAATCAGTCATCATCACATAGAATCTGGTACATATGAGTATCAGTTCGATATACCACATTATATGAAGACAAAGATGAATTTTTGAATGCGAATACCAGAGTAGTAAATGTAGTAAAATTATTGTTAGTCATAGAAAAGATTAGGTATAAATGCTGCATTTTAAGAAAGAACAAATTTACGCAGCGAAGAGTGTAAGGTTATTTTAAAACTCAAGAGATGACTAACAGTAAAGATTCGTTATTGTTACTTGTTCTGAACCATTTCACCTGATATTTTCAACTGCTCGTTATGATTATTACCCACACACTAATCAAGTAGCCTACATCTACTAATGTGGCCTAAGTCAATAGCTGTTATACTATTTCATGAATTATATTACGCGTTTGCGCGCGAGACTGATAAGTCCTGGGTTTGAGTCTCGCGGGAGGGGGGCGAGGCCGTGGATGCTCACTGTTGATGAGTCCCATACTAGGACGAAACGGCCATCCATTGCTTCCCGGTTTTCCATGGTGGTCTAGTTTCAGTTGACTCATGATTTCAACTACTGAATTATATTGAAATTCTTGAATTATTTTTTGTGGGAATGTTAGTTTTACCTATTAGGTTAATATGAGATTCACCATAGATGAGCCGGAGCTATGGTGAAACTACTATCTATCCTTCTCGAACATACTGAAATACTATCAAGTAATAAGTGGTTTGGATCATTTCTATCTCTCTGTGTGTGTGTGTGTGTATGTGTGTATATTGATTTTCTCCCAAATTAATTGTCTATCTTCCTTTATTATTATTATTATTATTATTATTATTATTATTATTATTATTATTATTATTATTATTATTATTATTACCATTTCTAATCGAATCCGTTTTACTCCTTATTTATATGGTTTGTACATAAGCATGAAAGTAAGTGGGGAGAGAGAGAAAGAGTGAATGAATAAGAGATGACAACTAAGGGCAATGGGCCAATATGTATATTACAGAATTCCACAAATAATTAAAACAATAGGCTGTCTGTCAAAAAATCAATAACAATGATAGAATAATAATGATAAAGTTAATTTGACACGTGTTGCTATGTCTCTCTCATTCTTTTTCTATCTTTCATTCTCTGGTTTCATATCTGTCACTCACGAATATTCACACAGACAGAGATAAAGAGAGATAGAGATAAAATTCAATTATGTTTAATACCTTTTCATTGATATTTTTGTGTTCAACAATAACTATAGTCTCTTTATCCATTGTATAATTGGGAGTAATAATAATAGTATTATCATTATTACTACCGGAAATGTTTGACATTTGTTTCATATTACTTATATGGTTAATTAAAATGTCCATTGAAGCTAGATCACCATGAAAAACCTGGAAACGCTAGACAGCAGTTTCGTCCTAGTTTGGGAATTCTCAGCAGTGCTCATCCACTATCCCTCCGCGAGATTCGAACCCAGTACCTAACAGTCTCGCGCGCTTCCAGGTTTTCCATGGTGGTGTAGTTTCAATTGACTAATAATTTCAACTATTGGAATGACTAAAATCTCCACAAAACCCCTTCTGATAATCAAGATGTCCGCCTAAACTTTCCTATTTTAGTTTAGATTGAAAGTACCGTATCTTAGAGATTAGGGTATTGAACGGTTACTATTTGTTTGGTTATTTATTTAACGAATTAATGATTTTGTTATGATACTTAGTAAATAAATATAAATTGGTTCACTGGACTAAATATTTTAATCATTATTGAGCAAGCCAGTCTGGTTGGAGATGGTTGACTTTTAAACTCGAAAATGCTCTAATATGACTGAGAGTAGAGCGAGCCAGCTCTCCTTCTCGAAATGCTCTCACATGGCAACGTGCATACAATCACTGTCAAGGAAGTCCTACTCATTGCCTTCTTGTGGCATTACTGTTGTTTACAAAATTGACAACATGGGAAGCGAATATTCGGCATTTTAGCCTGGTTAGTGGATATGAAGGATCCACCTAGTTGAGTTATCAAATGTTGGTTCTGAACCAGTTGTGTATGTATAACCTTCGTTGTCATTGTGTTTTGGATTTAATAAATCACAACTTAGTCTGTTTCTTTGTTTAGATGAATTTGAATATATTACTGGCTGATTTTAGTTTGAAAACCATTGGAAATCTAAAAACATTGTACGGTTATCGGACGTTGTTTAAATCAATCTAGTTTGCGATATAAATGACGAATTAAACAATAAACAAGCTGATTTTATTAGGAATGTATTACCCGCAGATAGTGTACTTCATACTGATTAATCTTTTGAAACAATGAAGTAATATATAAGTTTATATTGATTGAGTAAGGTAGCTGGTATATGATATAAGTGCTTAACCATCCCCTATCTGTATGACCATAGTTGATCGATGTAAGAGTAGGCTATCAAATGGACAACCTAACTGTATAAATCAGATGAATTATAGGACTGTGAACTCAATTTTATAATCAGTGAGTCATGGGTTGCAGTTCTACTTTTATTCATCAGAGTTCTATTAATAATGCATTGAAATCTCATTTACTATGGAGAAAGTGTCATAGGTTCGGTTGTTGCTTCATATATTTTAGGCAGGCAGTCAGTCTGGTAACATATCTACCTCTCATATTTAATGTATCATCCAACATGATACTGAGTACGGGAATCTGTATTTCAGTCTACCAGGTTACATTGAATAACAATACTTTGTTGATCTTCAAAAAATAATTATCACTGAAGAATCGTTTTATTTTGTTGTTGTTGGATTACTCAACTTTCTTTTTATACTTTTTCCCTCTGAATATCAGCTATTCCGAGAAGTGAATATTATGAAAATGTTAAATCATCCAAACATCGGTAAGATACAATTATTATTATTGTACAATAATCATATATGATCATTCAGTCACCCAGTGATTGTAACCATTAGTACATGATCTCATCATTGATTACTGATTCAATTTTATCGATCAAGTTATATAGCCATTAAGTTAAGTAACTTGACACATCACTGTATACTTTATATTAGCTGGTGAGAGATGTTACTATTGATTTATACAGGTTAACATAGGTTCTAGCTCTCTTCAGGTTTTTGGATACTCCCTACTAATGAATACAAATTACCAAGAAATCTAATATCAGAACATACTGTTTATTGCCTAAAATACTTTCATCTAACATTCGTATATCATTAAACTTAAATTGTAGAAAATTCTAGTCTCATTTGTGTTGTTAGAATGAATTAATTGAACATGGAGTTGATAATATTTCGGTTCGATCGTATGAAGATTCATCCCTAAGACGACATGTCACTGATTAGTGGAGGTGTATAACTTTGCTTTTAAACCATTCAATATTTAATCAATAGATTCCATATTGGAACCTCACTCGACATATTTTTGTTTGAACAACTAGTCAATATTAACTCCCCTCTTATAACAAACAGCTTGACTCAAATTCAAGTGCATTCGAAAGTTGCTAATATTATCGGTTTAAGTGATTTTGCTTGGAATTGATTAATTCATTTAGTGGCAGTGATCAATGGAAATGCTATTGTAAAATGGAGTTGCCAGGGGAATTATTTGGTTTGAGTTTGCTGCTCAATTTTTCTTATTTAGTAATCATGTCTAGTAAAAATGTGATGATGAGAACACTTCAATGAACATATGTTATTCCGCCATGTTTCCATGATAGTAGTCTAGTTGGTGATAAGGCGTTTAAAACCATACTTATAATTGTGTATATTTGTGTTGTCTGATTGTGGATGTATTATTATTTGTTTAAAAAAGGTAGAAAGGAGAAAGGCAATGTAGGATCATTGCTCTACTGATATAATGTCGTTTCTAACCGGTCTAACAATTACAGTTATTTTCTGTGTTTCTGTGTGAAGTTTTCAGTCTAATTTTTAATCTATACTTTTTATATTGTGAATTCATTTGTTCATTGTTTTTCTTTGTAACAGTATAGATTTTTATGACCTGATTTTGGCAACTTTCACCACCCATAGTGTTGATGACATGTTCATATCGTTTGTTCATCAGCAGCATCGTCTGTTTTAATTTATAACCATAAAAATGAAAGTTATAAATAACAGACACAAATAGGCCAGAAGGTTTTAACCGTAGATATCTTCGAAGGATTTCTCATAAATGTGTGTGGTGGTGGTGGTGAGGGGCAACAAAAACTTGATTAATGCAGTGGTTCAATATGATATACTTAGGTAACGATAACGAGTGGTTTGATAGGGTGGGTGGGTGTGTACTAATCTTCATTGATTGAGATAGCTGTAGTAAATTTTATATATACACAATCTAAATTTACACGAGTTGTGGGTAAAAACACAACAGAGGCGGTAAACCAAAACAATATAGCGTTACTCCATTATGTTATTGCCTATTGGAATGTGCTGAACGGAGAGAGGTACAGACTATCCTGATTGAATGAAGCTCAATTAATTCCTTCAATGACGATTGATTTGAATAGTAATACTCTGAATTAATATAATTGGAGTATAGAATTTCATCTGCTGTTTATATGATACATGATTGTTTCGTTTGACATTTGACAAATGACCATCGTTTAGAATGATGTTGTAATACGATTGTTTAATAGTACTTGTATTGTTGAATTTACTTCATCATCATACATGTGACTGAAAGGAATATGTATATACATGCATAATCATAAGTGAAGGGGGATGCTGCTGGTGGTAGGAATCAATGATTTGTAAACTCAAACACAACTACTCACAATATGTAATTCATTTGAGTTACTAGTATATTTATTTATGTATCAGTCGATGAGTGTAGATGTACACGTGTGATTTAGTGATCCCATGCACAGTATTTATACTTCATAAATATTGAACGTTCTCTTTGAAAGTGGTATCTAACTGTAAATGAGTTCAACTGATACTTACTATATTTTTGTCTTTAAAATTAACGTTATTGTTGCTAACCATATTTTCTGATTATTCTTATTCTTCTTATTGTCAACTAGTTCGCTTATATGAAGTGATCGAATCTGAGCGTCATGTATATCTAGTCATGGAATATGCAGAAAATGGTAAGTTATTTGTCTTACTTTTGCATTTCTTATTGTTTGTTATGGACAAATGTCATTTCCTATTAAATTGATCAAATTTTACTGATGATGACATTTAGATAATTAAGCTCTGACATTAGATCCTCTTTTTGAATGTCTGCCCAGATGCTCAAACCGAAACAGGTGGTTTAGGAGGCCACAACTGGAACCTTCGACCTAAAGGTCTGATCCACAAGGTAGTGGAGAAATGTCAGTAGGTGCAGTCCCATGGTAACCAGTGACCAACGATTAGTTCATACGACATTTGTTCATTCAGGATCCTATATCCCTTGTGCACCATTAGTTTAGAATCAGAGTTTCAAAGCTCCCCCTAGATGGACTTTGTGCGTCCTTTTCCAATATATTGTTTAGTATTTAAGTCATGTTGCATATTCAGCTTACTAGTTAAGTATCCTTCTTGGATACATGAAAAAGAATTTTCCATTGATGTAAGAGGTGTTTTTTTCAGTATTCCCAGAAATGTTTGTCTATGTTATCAGTATCATAGGTATTAATTCACTACCTATAATGTTCTGATAGATTTACAGCTTTAGATTTTTTCAACGTCTAATCAAAATTGATGGGTTTGTAGCTGAAATAATCTTGGGATGAGTTTGTAAAACACATTTAGGTAATTGATGACACGGTCTGAATGGTGTAGGTGGTGTATACACCCTCGATCTTCGCTTAAACTTTGAGATTAAAATCGCTTCATATCTTTGTTTCTACGAACTAATTTTTGCTTTCTGTACTATATCCTGTATATATCCTTATATAAACTCTTTCTTTTATATATTACACCATTGAGTTAAATGCTTCTATGAATCCGGTGTTCATGTTGTTGTTGTGCTATGGAGGGAGGGATGGCGACTTGGACCGATGCATATATATGCCTGGTCGTACTTTGTAACTGACTTAATTTATGACAATTATCATGTAGGCAATGCATAGATTTACCTGTTATAGGGAGAATCATTTGATCAACAATTTGAATTATATTTCTTCTAGCGACTGATATTTCAACGGTATGCGTAAATTAATGGTATTTTATTACCATGTTGTTCACCATCATCGGTTAGTTCTATGGATCGCGAACACATTTCACCTTGCCTTTAACTGATTGTTTTTCATATCGTATTTCAGTTATTTCATTTTGAAATATACACTCATAGGGGTTAATATTTTAATAGCTCTCATTTATGTTCACTTGTTGTGTGTTGATATGGTGTGTATATCACGACTTCTTAGGCTAATATATATTACTAAGAGATCTTCCTAAATTGTGTTTTGATTCAATCAATGTAACTATTTCTACTGTACAGAATGTATGTCACTGGAAACTGTGGCCTGATGTATTTTGTCTTATTTATCAATATTTACTTTCCTTGCAGATAATCAATTTTCTTTTTAATGAATAATTCACCTTGACCTGATTCATGTAAAGAAAGAATCGATTATTATTACTGCACACTTTTACTAATCCATCTTGGCTTATTTCTATCTGTCTGATTATGTATTTTAAAAGCTGTCCTCCATCTACTCGTTTTCTTGCTTTCTATCTATCACTTCCTCGTTTAAATCCACAAAACTAAGATTAAATTGATCGATTGTCGTGTTTGAGCATATGATGATTGGTTTGTGTTACACTTATGAATACGATTTTTCATCGGGAATATTAATTTATTACATGGTTTTTATCACATCAACTTTCTTTCATGTAGGTGTTTTCTCATGATATCCTTTCGTTTTCTTTCATTTCACTCATGTTTTAATACAATCGAATGAATGATGTGGTATATTTATAAGCTGACTGGGATCAATACTAGTTATAGATTAATACTTCTATTAGTCAGTGGTTTAGTAGTCATAATCTTCGACTTTCATTCAACAAATTAAGCATTAATATCCCTTGACTACTGAATTCAGTTTGTATAACTGTTTGATATGTCAGTAGCCCTGGTGCTTAAGGTGTGGCCCCAAAATGTCCTGCTACGGCCGAAGATGAGGAGATTTCGCTTACCCTCACGAAATGCCCTCACATGGCCACATGTATGAAGTCTCTGCTAAGGAATTCCTACTCACTTCCTTCTCGCACCATGGGTGTTGTTTGAGAAATCGCGAGGACGAAAAGCGAATGTCCAGCTCTTGAACCGGGTTTGTGGATATTGAGAGTCCACCTAGAGGAGTTGGAAAACCACAATTCCTAACCAATGGTGCACATGGTCTCTCATATCCTCAATAAACAAATGCCATATGAACCAATCGTTGGCCACCGGTTACCATGGCACTACATCTCCTTACGTTGCTCCACTGCTTGTGGATCAGACCTTTAGGTGGAAGGCTCCGAGTGTGGCCCTCTAAGGAAACCACCTGCTTCGGTTTGGGCAGCCGGGCAGTATCACAGCCCGCACATGAATCATATGAGATTTGTGTGGCGCAAATATATTTGGTGCCTCCTTGTACCAAGATCTATGTTTTCTTATAAAATAAATGTAAAACAAAAAGGGGCGTGATCCTGTTATTTTACTGATCGTAGTGTTATTTATATTTCGGAAATATAAATTTCCAATTTTTTCCCATCTGAAGTCCGTCAATCAGTAACAACGTAGAACTTTGTACCTACGTACATCATTTCGAGTTGCCATATCACATTTGCACACATACAATTGTCGATTCAAATCCCATAGTGGTATAGGCAGTAATAGTATAAGCAGTAATCGGAAAGATTTGGGTTTGAAGATGTTATTCAAGGAGTATAATTCAGTGAAATAGATTTCAGTCAGTCAGTAACAACGTAGAACTTAGTACGCACGTACATCAGTTCAAGTTGCCATACCACATTAGCACAGTGAAATAGATTTACAAAGGAAAAAAAAGAAAGGGACATGAAGAATTCAGAAGATAGGGATTTGGGAGAACACAATGAGTGTATGCACCTTTTCAAACGATTTTGAGCCATGTCATTCAAGGTCTCTAACCATCGGTTTCTATCGTCTCGCAGATCCCAACAAGGTAGTCTACACCTACCAACATGATTCAGTCCTCCTGTCGGTAGCGACGTTATGGATTTGTGCCATATTTTGGTCTGACTGCCCCCATATTTCTTCCAATCTACTCTTACACCATAAAACATTGAACGTTGGGGGCAGTAACTTACTTGAACTTGCCCTTCAGGTCTACTGGAGATCGTGAGAATTTGTAGATAGTGAGGTTAGACGCAGAGTATTAGGGAATAATGGCAAATCAGTTGATGAGGTTGTAAATCTTCATCGACTGAGATGGTTGGGCCACATGTTGCGTATGCCTGAATACCTCTTACCACGACGCGGATTGCTGACTGGTGTTAGAGACGGTCGGAAGAAAGTTAGGGGTGGCCGAAGTAAAACGCGGCATCAGTGCTTGAAGTCAGTAACTTGTAGTGTTAGCCATGCTGGTAGATGCAGATTACTTGATCGTTGTCCGTGTGACTATCGTAACCAATGGTTGGAGACTGTGTGTGATATGGCTGAGCATCGATCACAATGGCGTAGATGTATACACACTTTGCCTTCCTTCAAACTGTGAGATTAAAATTGCCTTATATCTTTCTTTCTATGAACTAATTCTTTATTGCTATGCTATATTCTTATTCACAATCTTTCTTTTATGTGTTACCACCACTGAATTAACTACTTTTATGAATTTGATGTTTATCTTGTTGTGTTAATGCGGTATGACAACTTGGATCGATGCACATAGGTGCCTGTTCCTACGTTGTAGCTGACTGATTGACTGACTGAATCACTTTGTATAGACCTCTTCTAATCACTATGTTAACATTTTTCAAATACGTAAATATCTTGTTTCTATGGATTCATTCTTTTTCTTATTTTTTTATCGTCAACATCTTAGTGTTGTTCATTTCGTCGTTTGTTTGTTTCTTCATGACATGACACAATGGTGATTATGATCATAATGATAATGCTAGTGTAGTTGACTGCTTTTTCTTATTGTGTTTACCTTTAAATGGCATTCATTAAAGGAAAAGAAAAAAACAAACTATCCCCTTGCTTGTATACACACATTTATGTAACATTAAAAGTTCTCATTATTGTCAACCAATAGAATGTATGTTTACTATTTCCTCTTTCAATATTCCTCTCTATGTGTACTGTGGAACATTATTTTCCAATTAGATTGTCATATCTATTTTTCATTTTTATTACCCTAATTATCTACATTCTTCTATAATCAATTAAGCATTTATAACTTAATCTCATGTTAAACGATTTCTATTGCATTTGAAATATATAAACAAATAGGTATTTATGTTGTTCGAAATAAGAAGGGACAATGACGTAGAAACAATAATAATAGTAATAATGAATATTGGTAAATGAAGGATAATTCAGCCCATAAATATGAAATCCCAATACAATTTGATTAAGAGTCAATGTAATAAGATGAATAAATAATAAGACATAATGAATATGAATGAATGACATTTGAATGTGTATACGTTGTTTTATTGCCTTCATCAAATACCCTGATACGACTGAGGATGAGGAGAGTTAGTTAGCTCTCTGTCGAAAAATACTCTCACATAGCCAAATGCATGCAATCACTGATAGGGAAGTCCTACTCACTCAGTGCCTTCTCGCACCATGGGTGTTTTTTACGAAATTGAAAAGATGAGAAATAAATGTTTTACGCTTTGAATGAGTTGGTGGATACAGAGGTCACGCTTACAGGAGTTGAAAAACCCTGATTCCAAACCAATGGTTTACATAGGCTCCACGATCCTGAAGGAACAAATGGAGTATCAGTCTATTGTTAGTCACTGGCTATCATGGGACTGCATCTCCTAACGTTGTTTCACTGCCTTTTGGATCAGACATTTAAGTTTAAGGCTTCAGGTGTGACTCCCTAAGAAAACCACCTGTTTTGGTTTGGTCACCCGGACAGTATCCTAGCCCTCACACACATATCGAATGATTTATATGGTGCATATCTATTTCGTACCTTGTTTTACCAATGTTTATGTGTTTAAATAAATAAATTAATTAATTAACTTTATTCTATCAAAGAAGAATAAATGTGAATAAATGTTTCTATCATGATTTCTATTAAAATTAATCTTGAATATTACATTAGCTAGTTAATTACTTAATTAATCATTACATAAGTCTGTAAAAGTCATCTTTATGCTTTATAAAATAGAATTCTAATGAATAAATTATCACTTGTCAAAATCAATAAGTATAATATTAATGGATAGACAATGTGTTATGATATGATGTAACCAAATAATAGTGAAGTCAAATTATTGATATAAGCTACTGAACTGTTTGAAATCAAAGACAAGATCATTTACTTTGTTCTAAAATAATACAGTTATTTACTGAATATTAACTCTAAAAGTAACGCCTCCAAATACCCTGAGACGACCGAAAGTATGGAGAGTTATCTCTCGCTCTCCAAATTTTCTCATATGGCAAGCTTATATACAACCACTGCCAAGGAAGTCCCACTCACTGCCTTCTCTTGCCGGAGATATTGTTAACGAAATTGACCACATGAAAAGCGAATATCCGAGTACGGATGATCCATCTAGGGGAATTGGAAAATCCTGATTCCAAACCAATGGTGCACATGTGCTACGGGATCTTGAGGGAATAAATAACGTATGGACCAATTATTGGTCACCGGCTTGATTGGACGTTTAGATTGAAGGCTCCGGGTGTGGGGCTCCCTAAGAAAATCACCTGTTTCGGTTTGGGTATCCGAGCAGTGTCACAGCCGACATACAAATTAATTGACTTATGTGGCCCATATGTATTCGATGCCCTATTTGTACCAATATCTATGTTTTCAAATAAGTAATAAATGAACTAAAAGTAATGTTGAAAAAATGTTATAGGCAATCATGGTTACATAATTTCTAATTAATTAAAAATTGGGTGTTGGATCTAATTCTTGCTCATTATGAACTGAAATAATTTTATTTGGTTCTTGAAATTCCGTCAATATGCTTGTTTACTTAATCACTTTACTTAAATCGATTTGGACAAATGATAAATTATATTCTTAACGCGTACAGTAAGTATTCATTATCTGGAAATGCTCTGAGAAGATACCATTGTTCGGCGGTTATTTAGTGTGTGTTGTACAGTCTGTCCTTTTTTTATTTTAAGCTTATTAATTGTGGTATGTTGTCTAAAGTTTCTGAATTACAATTAATATATTTTCGCTGATTAATATTATTACCGAAGCAAATACTTGCTACATTTGCTTAGCAGCAGTGTAATCAGGTTTCGCTTTAACCAGTATGTATATTGGTCAGTTAATATTTTCCACTTTGAACAAATTACTTCAATTACATACTTGTTTTGTAATCACCTCATAAGAATTTCATGTTTAATCACTGAAACTCGTGATTTTTAGTATTTATCACTAAGTCATCGTTGCACACAACATTAAGTATTTTCCATTGATCGTGGATGTTCACTGCTGAGGAGTCCCATACTAGGACGAAACGGTCGTCCAGGTTTAATTATCTCATGATTTGAACTCTTAAAATGACTATAATATCCACAAAAATCCCCTTCTGATAATTATCGTTGACTTTAACTCTTCGGGATTTGTCCAATGTTAATTTCATGTTAATTTTTCATCAATTGATCATATTATACAGACTACTAATCTTTTCTTCTAATAGAACGTCAGATACATCATATGATGAAATTAGTAAAAAATTTCCAAATTCCATTTACTTTGATTATTCATCTATCTACATATTACCGTTTATGATTGTTTCATAATCGTCGTTTACTTTTTGGCATTCGTTCAAAGCAGTGATTAGTTGTATATGCTGAATATTGATCTCAGTGTATTTTGATTAGTGCTACTTAATATTCTACCTTTAAAATAGTATTTCTACTATGAAAATAGAAAAAAAAAGTATTATCATCAAAGTGCTATTGTTTCAACACATGTTTATTTGTGAGTATAATACTGTGTAGGCGTTACAATCTATTATAGTTACTTTTTGTATCATATAATTATTGTTATTCCGTACTTATTATTATTATCTGCATTTTCATTCATCTTTTGACCTTTGCTGGTTACTGGCACAATACTTTGTGTGGGTGTGTGTATATGTATATATGTATCGACATAGTTTTGTTGTGAATCCTTTCGGTCTCCATCTTGTGATATATGAGGGCATAAGTAATTTGTGTTTACACTGTAATTCAATGTTCATATTATTTTGTTTATATTCTAGATATACATATACATATTTATTCATATACTATTCTACAATCGATGTTCGTTTATTTTTTATCGTGTTCAATATGATTAATTCTTTTTTTCTTTCTTCAGTCTTCATCTTGTTTCATTCATTCTTTTTTTAACTTGCCCATTTATCCTAATTATCGTGCATAGTTACTATGTTATTAATGTTCATATTTATTTTATCATGGGCTGTTACCATTTTAATTAATCATTGAGAACTAAAAAGAATTGACATTTGTAATTTATCACCTGTGACCAACTTTGTAATAAATTCTTTAGTTGTTTTTTTCATCTGAAATCATAACTTGGGGAGTTCAATCAAAATAGTGGAGCCCCCAAATGCCCTTGTACGGCCGAGAGTGAAGAGAGTCAGCTCTCCCTCGAAAAATACTCTCACATGGTCACTTGCATACAACCACTGCTAGGGAAGTCCTACTCACTGTCTTCTCGTGGCGGGGGTGTTCTTTACATAATCGACAACACGAAAAACAAATGTCCGGCGTTTAAAACGGGTTGGTGGACACGGAAAGTCTACTTAGGGCAATTGAAAAACCCTGATTCCAAACCGATTGTGCACATGATCGCCAGTATTTTGAGAGAGCAAATGTCGTATGAACCAATCGTTGGTCACCGTCTACCATGGGACTGCATCTCCTTACGTTGCTCCACTGCCTTGTGAATCAGACCTTTAGGTGGAAGGCTTCGCTTGTGGCCTCCTAAAAAAACCCACCTGTTTCAGTTTGGTCACCCGGGCATTATCCCAGTTCTCGCATAAATCGAATGATTTATGTGGTGCATATCTATTTCGTACCTTGTTTTACCAATGTTTATGTTTAAATAAATCAATCAATCAAAGATATAGTACTCTTTGATATTTGCTTTAAAGTTGCCATGAGTTCAACATTGTATAGGATTGTAAATGATATATATACGTGTTGCCATGTGAGAGTATTTCGAGAGGGAGAGAGAAGTCATTGCACTCTCAGCCGTATCAGAGCATTTGGGTGCATATTTAGATAGTGCTTACCTCAGATAACAATTTATATTAAATAGTCTTTTATTTATATAATAGTGCATAATGCTTTTAGATCTTTTCAGTAGTTCTTTAACTCATCATATCTTCAAAACAATCATCGACTTTGTTTACTATATCATTCTACTGTTTACAGTATTCATGTTTTTCTACACTTTGTTGATTATTAGCAATGTTATTGTTGTTGTTCTTTTTCTGCTTAGTTACAAAGAAACAAGTATACTAAACGTTTCTTATATGTTTGAGAATTAAGCAAATATAAGATAAATAACTACATTTTGTTTTCTTTCCAAAATAGATTGTTGTATACCTTCACTTACTCATAATCAATAATATTTGTAACTATGATTCATTCAAGTGATAATTAGTTTCCTTTTCATTCTTTTTTTTCCTTTTATGATGCAAAATCAATAATACAGGCGAAGTATTTGATCACTTAGTAGCTCATGGTCGAATGAAAGAACGTGAAGCACGTGCTGCATTTCGTCAAATTGTTTCAGCAGTTGAATATTGTCACCAAAAGAAAATTGTACACAGAGATTTAAAGGTTTGTGATCGTTGCTTTGTTTCTTCTCATTCTGTCGATTTGTAAAGGATTTTCAAGTATAATTATTCAAGGGTGTTCCATCTGATTTTGTAGACTAAACGAGAACTAAGTTTTAAATATACAGTCAATAACCTAATGTCGAGAGGTGATTACAGAAGTTTTAGTAAGGAGCCATGACTAATGGAGTTCAGTCATGTCGCTCTTGAGATAAATATCACCACTGGTAATATGTAATTATTTAGTGTCGCGAAGTAATTGAAGCTAGAAATGCAAACCCTTAAGTGCGGACTTAGTGGTCTGGTGGTTAAACGCTTGTCTGGAGGGTTGTAGGTTCGAGATTCAATTTTTTGTAGATTTTTATAGGTTCACTTACGAACAGTACTATACTAGAACTAAACAGCTATTTATACTTCCCGGCTCTCGGTAATTGTTTGATCAAAGTCAATCGATTATTTGGAACTTCGAGTTTATTTAGAATCAGATTACTCTAAGTAGTAAACTATCTTTTCACGCATTACTTTTCATGTATATTCAAATTTTTAACGTTTACTTAGTGGACTAGTTGTTTGCTCTTGTATATTATACATAACCAAAACTAGCGAGCTTCAACTTGGAAGCAGAGTTTGCTTGATTGACCTTGATGGGTTTGTGACAGTATCTTTTACAGAGAATCTAAGTTTCCAGTGACTTTGCCTTCCCGTAGACTTTAATAGCGTGGATAACAAATGTTGGGATAATAGTAAGCTGGACTGTTTTTTCAGATAAAATCTTTAATATCGGAGATGAGGTTACAAAGTGTGCAGAAATAAATATAAATAGTCGTGAAAAGGCTGTGTTATTGACCGTCATTTAATGTCTTAATGTGTTGTCAGCACGTTTTCATGTGATGTTTACATGCAGTAATGCCGTGTTACTTGTTGTTACACTTGATTACTAGGATGTCATCTTCAGTTTTTTCAATTGTGTGAATTCATATCATTGTATTCTGAAAGTTCTCTAAAAACTGAAAATATATACTTCTCATAATAACTTTTAGTTTTCCCGTATTCTTTGCAGTTATGGATTAACTACATGTCTTAAGTTTTTACCTTGAAAAACAGTAAGAAAAATCATAGGACAAACCCATTCTCGCCCTTAGCTATTTCGTACGTTGACGCAGATACAATGAAAGCTCTCTTGTGAAGTAGTAGCGCATAGATTAGCTCCACATTACTTTGTGGAGTGATATTCTACTCTTTACCCACTAGAGTAGAACACTTCAATTATCGATACAATTTCCGATTGTATTTCAGGCTGAAAATCTTCTCTTCGATGGATATTTTAATATTAAACTTGCCGATTTTGGTTTCTCCAATCTTTTTGATGGATCTAAAAAATTAGATACTTTTTGTGGTAGTCCACCATATGCTGCACCGGAATTATTTCAAGGACGTAAATATGATGGTCCAGAAGTGGATGTATGGTCATTAGGTGTAATTTTATATACACTTGTCAGTGGATCATTACCATTTGATGCACAACATTTAAAAGTTAGTTTTAATTGTTCCGCTTTTTTTCTCTTTAATATTTGATATATTTATAAAATTTAGGATTTGCATAAACTATTTATTTAACTGTATACATATATCTTTTCGGATTGCTTCCGGTACACTTGCCTTCTTTAATCAACATAATATGTGCAAGGGGCACCAAATACACACAATAACAATGAGGCCAGTAGCAGTTATCATTGATTTGTGTGTGTGGGCTGTTATATTTCCCGGGTACCCAAACCGAAGCAAATGAATCACTGATTCACAAGGCAGTGGAGCAACTTTGGGAGATGCAGTCCCATGATAGCTAGTGACTAACAATAGGTTTATACGCCATTTGTTCTCTTAGGATCCTGGAGCCCATTTCCACCATTGGTTTCGTGAGAGAGAGCTAACTCTCCCTACCCTTGGCTGTACCAGGTCATTTGGGGGTTAGTAGTCATTTTATACTTACTTAAATTCGATTAGCGTCAACAAACTATTTATGTTATCTAATAACTTCTTGTTCACTTACTGACACATTGATTATCTCTTGAAAAGTGGTCGATTTTCTTTCCAAATCCATCTAAAATAGTAGAATGAAGGGATCATCGGGTGAATATTTTTTTAAATTTAACTGAATAGTGAACTTCCTCCATGAAAGAGATAGACAGTTATACAGCATCTTATATTTGCTTTAGACATGCATTAGTTCAAAGTTAGTCGTGCGGATACATACACATAGGAATTAGTTCTCATGATAATTATTTCACTAGATTTTTCTGATTTAATCTGAGATAAGGTTCCACTTTTTTCCCATCCCCATTTTTCATACATATATAATACACATTTATACATATATGTATGCATAAATAAATTTTAGGATTTACAAGAACGTGTATTACGTGGCAAATATCGTGTTCCATTCTATATGTCAACTGATTGTGAAGCATTACTTCGTAAACTATTGGTATTGAATCCAGCCAAAAGAGTCACATTAAGGGTAAATCAATATATAAATTATTACTCACGTTTAACATTTTTCTATATCTTCGTCTTTATTCTTTAACTGAAACGGTCTAGTTTTTCAATAATGCAATGAGAAGATGAAGTTTATCAGATTTATGTGATCATGGAATTGCTCAATACAGTTCGAACAATCTAATCACATATATACTTTTTAAGAACATTTATATATATTGAAATCATGAGTCAGTTGAAGCTAGACCACCATTGAAAACCTGGAAGCACTGGACGGCCATTTCGTCCTAGTATGGGACTCCTCAGCAGTGCGCATCCACGAGTCCCATACTAGGACGAAACGGCCGTCCAGTGCTTCCAGGTTTTCAATGTTGGTCTAACATTAATCAGTTCATGATCTCAATCAAAAATCTAATGAAATTAGGATACTGACTTTGTTTTCAACTTAGTAATTGATCTAATTCAGTATTTTTATTGATCTTCCCAAATATATACATATTCCCTTCTTTTCATTTTATTTCTTTCGTCGTTTTTTTCCTCTCACAAAATAACGTCATCTACTTCCGTCCTTGCCTTGTAAGAAAATTGTCCCTAATATTTATCGACTGAGTAAAACTTAATTATCATATTTCTCTACAATATTTTTCATTGATTTGCTTCAACAGAATGGTTTTTTTCATGTTTATTCTGTCTTTTGTGTGTTTGTGTGTGTATGTATGTTTGCATATTCGTTCTCGAAATTTCTATTCGTAATTTATCATGAATATTAATTAGTTCTAATGATGATGTAGAATGTTATAGTTGAATGAATTAAGTTTTTTGGCATATACATACTTGTGACTGGATATTGTTTCATTTGAACTATTATTAAAGATCAGTAATTAATAAATGTCCACTTGTTCATCGTCTACTGAGTCAACATGAATTAAAATATCATTTGAAAATGAAACTAAATTCATTTGTCCTGCTGATTCTATCATGTAGTTTTTCTTTTTAAACTTATAGTTCATATGGAAGCGTGTCGACCGCTTCACTTATCTTGGAAGTCTCATCAGCCCTTGTGGTCTGGTGTGTGACGAAATCTCAGCACGGATACAGAAGGCTCGACTAGCTTTTGCCAACTTGGGTCATTTATGGTGTAGGCGAGATATCCGTCTATCAACCGAAGAACGGATTTACTGCTCAGCAGTTTGTTCCGTCCTACTTTATGGCAGTGAAACATGGCCGGTAAGAGTAGAGGATATTCGTAGACTACTAGTATTTGATCATAGGTGTCTTCGAAATATTGCTCGTATATCCTGGGACCATCGAGTAAGTAATGTAGTTGTTAGGAAATGGGTACTAGGTAAGAATGGCAAATCAATTGATGAAGTGGTGAAACTTCATCAGTTGAGGTGGCTGGGACACGTGTTACGTATGCCCAACGACCGACTGCCTCGACGTGCGATGTTCAGTGGTATAGGAGTTGGTTGGAAGAAAGCTAGGGGCGGCCAGACCAAAATATGGCACAAATCCATGAAGTCACTGACAAGTGGACTGAGCCATGTTGTTAGGTGTAGACTACCTGGTTGTGAACTGCGTGACTATCGTAACCAATGGTTGAAGACTGGGTGACATGGCTCAAAATCGTTTGCAATGGCGCAGGTGCTTCCACTCTTTGTGTTCTCCCAAATTCTAATCTTCTGAATTCTTCACGTCCCTTTCTTTTTTTCTCTTTCCAAATTTATTTCACTGGATTATACTCCTTGAATAACATATTCAAGCCCTAAACCTTCCGATTACTGCTTATACTTATACGTTGTTACTGACTGACTGAGTTCACATGGAACAGTTTCATTCTAGTTTGTACTCTGTTCCGATTTAAAACAGAACAAATTTTGTTTTCGATTGTATGCATCATTGTCATTTAAATTTGAGACTACTAATCATACATGTGTGTACTTTGTTTAGTAAATAGAAGTAGCTTCATAGAGACTCTTAAGCGTGAGTTCGTTTTAGTTTTCTATACATCACCAAGTTGTACCTGCAATCTATAGCGAACTGATACTTCTTGGATGATTCTAATTTGTGTCAACCCGTTCTATAGCTGCATTTTATCTCTTGTTGTAGGGAGAATAAGTTTGTTCAACATTATGAGTACACTTTTCTGCTGGTATACTCAATTGTCTCATGGTCTCAACCATTGAAATTACTATGATATCCACAAAACCTCTCCTCACTAGTGACTGACTTCAAGAGGTATTTCCTGGAGTTCTAGTAAAAAGCAGTGACCAGTGGAGTTCAGCCGGGTCTGTTTTTAGATAGTAACTCACTGAAAACAATGGCGGATGGTGGCGCAATTTTGTAGATTAGCTTGAAGTTAGACATTAACACCGTTGGATGCCGGCTCAGTGGTCTAGTGGTTAAGCGATCGCGCGCGAAACTGATAGGTCCTGTGTTTTAATCTCGCGAGACGAGATCGTGGATGCGCACTGCTGAGTAGTCTCACAATAGGACGAAACGTCTGTCCAGTGGTTCCAGGTTTTCCATGGTGATCTAGCTTCAATCGACTCATGATCTCAACAATTGGAATACTAACTGTCATAAAACTTAAGTCAAATTGGACTTCCCTTTGACTAGTATGTACAATTTAAATTCGTCTAGATTATTAGCTATATTGACACTCGATTGATAAGGTTCAACCAGCTATCTAAAACTCCTGAAACATGGTTGTGGTTTACGATTCAACGATGAGTTAATGTCAAATCATTATTTTATATGTTACAGTTAATTATTTGTTTTTCATTCTTAGATAAAAGGAATTTTTACCAAAAATAAACAAAAAAACTAATTAGCTATTATAGAAACCATATTGTTACTCATTTTGTAATAGATTGAACCACTTTTTTTCCAAGTCTCTCATTAATACTATTGAATGGTCTATTGGCAACTAATAAATTGACAATAATCATATACGCACACACACACACATAGATATATACACATATATAATCGATATATGATCTTAGATAAAGATGAAATCATCCTTCATATTAAAATTCTTCTTCAATAATAATCTTCTATTCTATGAATATTAGCGTCATATCTTTTTAAATAAAACATTTGTTTATATTTCCAATCAGAATGGTCTTCTTTTTGTCTATAATTGATTGTCGTTATCGATAGAAATATGTCACTACTAGCTAACGTACATTTATTTATCAGCTAGTTGATTAGAATTAAACATCATAATCATTTGTCTGTTTCCTTCCGCCTACTCACCTACCTGCCTACCTACTTTTTTTCTCCTCATAAAAACAACTTATTATCTTCCTTTTTTTTCCAATTATTCACAATAAATTGTTTCTTATCTTCTTGGTTGTTGTTTATTTGTTTAAACTTATCGATCTTCTCTAGAAACATTTTATTCCCCCCCCCCTAAAATAAAATATCCTCTGCCTAGTGAATAATATTCCATGTAATAATCTATTGCTAAGTAGTCATACCGTGTCATTTATTAATTGACTATTATTGTTATTATTATTATTAACATTGTCTAGACAATTTTCCATTGTCCAAAATAGTCATAATTCATCTAATTAATAATGATAATAATTCAATCTGCATACACTTTGACAATCTGCTTGAATATCTGGTCTATTTATTCTTATCATCTAGATATTTCAACGAGTTATCTGTTTCTTGGTTTGTTTTAACACATTATTATGTTTATGAATTACATAACCAATTTATAGACGCATTTGTGGAAAGTTTACAACTTTTAGTTGTACAAGTTACAAAAAAGTACAATCAAAGATATCATGTTGACTGGCAATATTCATTGAAAAGATTAAACATTGTTCAGATATCGATTCTCGAACTACTATCATCTAATTATCGATTATTCAATATTCATCATTCGGTTCAATCAAGCAATAAGAAAAGGGAACTTGTTGAAATCATTTGTTTTTGATTGAGATCACGAACCAATTGATGTTAGACCATCACAGTTGTAAACCTGGAAGCACTGGATGGCCGTTTCGTCCTATTGTGGGACTCCTCAGCAGTGCGCATCCACGATCCCGCTCGCGGGATTCGAACCCAGGGCCTTCGGTCTTGCGCGCGAACGCTTAACCAACTGGACCACTGAGCCGGCATCCAGTGGTGATAGTTTCTAACACCAACCAATTCACTAGAAATATTTTGTGTTGAGAATTCTATATTATACCAAAAATAGAATATTGAATAAAGTCATTGATGATAATAATAATTAATGATGTGCATGTGATGCATAACTCCGTCTGTAGCTCTTCTAGAGTTACTGCCGGTACCAAGCTCGGCTAAAAGACGAGGGTTGGGCATAGGGTTGACAACCCCATCCGGTAGAAGAACAATCTTGCTAACAAACAACACCAATCAGACTAAGCTTTGATGTATATTTGACCACCTACTGTATCAATTTGAAGCTCGTACTCTAGTGGAATACTAATTTTGTGTTGACAATCCTGTTCTACATGTGATTGACCTCAAATACGTTTCGTTTTAAATATCAAAGAAATACCAAATAAGCTAAGAGTCATAACATGTTGAACTCACAGATGCTGCTATTTACTGCAGTGTCGTCTTTGTTTACATTTTCCAATATTCTGTATTGTATTGATTTAAAAACTTCTTATCATGATTACATATGTACAGTTATCATCATATAGTTCAAATTAATCTTGAATAAGGTGGTTGATTATAATACTGATACAGTTTTTAATTTGGCATCCTAAATTTCTGAGTTGATTATATATATATATATATATATATATATATATATATATATATATATATATTCTTAGCCGTAAGATTATTGTTTATGCTAGAACCAGCTATATTACCTAATATCTCAAATCAAAGTTAGTTAACAAGCAAATCTGGAACCAATCGGTCATCATTCATACCGACGATAGCGTTGCAAAGCAGTATATTAATAATCTCAAACATTCCAATTTCAATCCACGCTACAGATTTGAGTATTGTTTTTGTCTCTTTTCATTCAGTAGTAGCGGAATAGTGTCCATATCTTCTGTGCACAAAATATATAGCTTAAAGCTCAGTTCAAAAGTGTTTATTCCTTGAAATATTGAATATATTTCGTTGATGAATGGTTCCTTGTGTTTATTCTTATTCTTTTTTTGTTATCTCTGTTCATAATGTTAATAACTGTATTCCAATTTGCTTTTATTGTCGTATCTCGACTAATCGTTTAGTTGTTGTTGTTATAAAATCTGATTAGTTTACTAGTTTTCTTGAATGGAATTGTTTGAGTACAGTCTTCAATAACAAGGAATCCTTTTAAGAATTCATGAGAAGTTGTGATTTATACAATAGACTATTGATATGTGTTATGTCTATACAGTAATAAACTGACTTGGTAATTACTACTGAAAATTTGTCAATTAGATAATGTAAGTAAGAACCTCGAAGATCACCACTAAATGAGGATTTATTCGACATCCAATATAAATAAAACTGATATTTCAATACACTTTTTTATATGATTTGTTAACAGTCCGATTTCAGTCAGTCAGTCAATCAGTAACAACGTAGAACTTCGTACGTACGTACGTACATCAGTTCGAGTTACCATACTACATTAGCACAGATATTTGCAGAAAATTCTAACATCACTTAATTAATAATTTTAACTATATGAGAACATATTTACAATATCATACAATTAATTATCTATAACTAAACTGATGTAACTAGTCAGCTAAATTATGTAATCACTCTTTCTCAAGATGTGACTACATATCATGATGTAATTCTAACTTTAATCAGTTAAGTACTTGGTCAGCATATTGATGTTATTTATTGACTAGAATTCTAATTGTTTAAAGATCCCCGTCATATTAAAGGATTAGTATTTGAATTCTAAATGTTTCATGTCAATTGATTCTAATTCAGTAATCCAAATGTTCTGGACTTCTGAGTTATATATTTTGTATGATCATCAGTATTCATTCCTATGTATTGTTAAACTACTAGAATAGAATGATTATTTATATTTCTTGATTATATTTATCATATAGTGTACGGATAATCATTCAATAGAAGTACAACATCTTATATACTTACGCCTGTTACTCCCAATGGAGCATAGGCTGCCGACTAGCATTCTCCAACCCACTCTGTCCTGGGCCTCCTTTTCTAGTTCCATCCAATTCTTGTTCATTTTACTCATGTCTATTTCCATTTCTCGGCGTAATGTGTTCTTTGGTCTTCCTCTTCTCCTTTGGCCTTGAAGATTTCAAGTGAGGGCTTGCTTTGTGACGCAGTTGTGTGCTTTCTAAAATGTCTGTCCTATCCACTTCTAGCGCTTCCTGATTTCCTCCTCCGCTGAAATCTGGTTTGTTCTCTCCCACAGTAGGTTGTTGCTGATAGTGTTTGACCAACGGATCCGAAGTATTTTGTGTAGGCATCTGTTAATGAACAATTGTATCTTCTGAATGATAGCTTTCGTAGTTCTTCAGGTTTTTGAGCTTGGTATTGGTTGATAATTGTTTTGAGTTCCAGATGTTCTTCAGTTGTAAATATATTGCTCTTGATTTTCCGGTCCGCTCCTTCACCTGTGCATCAGATCCGCCGTGATCATCAATGATGCTGCCCAGATATGTAAAGGTTTTTACATCTTTCAAATCTTTTCTGTCAAATGTGATTCGACTGTTGCATGCTGTGTTGCATCGGAGAATCTTGCTTTTCCCTTTGTTAACAGTTCTTATAAATTGTTACGTAACATTTATTGATAAGCATAACTAGATTATTTTCTTTTTTTGTATTTTGAGCACTTTTCCTTTCGATCAAAAGGGGGTTTTGTGGATATTTTATAGTAATTTTAATGGTTGAGTTCATGAGTCAATTGAAAATAGATCACCATGGAAAACCTTTAAGCACTAAATGGATCGTGGATGCACAATGCTGAGAAGTCCCATAATAGAACGAAACGACCATCCAGTACATTAGAGTTTTTTATGACGGTCTAGCTTCACTTGACTCATGATCTCAACTATTAAAATTACTTTTTTTTCTGGTCTCAACATTTTTCATTTACATATGTTTATTTAGATAGGATAGGTGTATATTTCATCCTATTCCATAGAGAGACAGATATACATCATAGTTTTGATTGTCTAATATTTCTTATCGTTTCTATTCAAGACTCCAAAGATCATTCTGTGGTGTTATGCACTCATTTTAAAATGATCTACTGGATGTATTTTTATGTCACAAGTTATTTACCATATTCGATATAAGGCTAGCAGTCGAATCTCAATCATTCATTTAGTCCTTCTTGATTATCACACTGAGATTTTAATCATTACATGCCTTCATATTTATTGAATAAATTAGTTGGTATTTAAACTCAATACCTTAATGGATAAAGTGTTAGCATTTGAAACAATAGGTGTTCAACTCGAGTTTTTATAAATAAACATTGATATTGGGATGATATTGCATCAAGGTGACAAATACTAATCAAGATGTAACGTGCATCTTAGATACTACTATTACCTGGATATAATATCTACTAGAAATAAATACAACCAAAAACACTATTGGTATGTTTCACAACTATCATTTAATACAGTAATAATAATAATAATAATAATGGTGTGAAAATGTTTACTGTATGGTTTCAATCCAAACAAGGGTATAAATAGTTGTGTAAATAAGTTGTTTATCATTTCTTATAACATATTTATTGGACATATTTTAATTTTCTTATATTGAAGAGTTAATCATTAAGATATACATATGAATAAATAGATAGATAGATAAATCGGTACATAGATTCTTTTGCTTATATCATCGTCTTGATTTATAAATGATTGATTAATTGTTTCTTTTCATTATTAGATCTGTGAAAAAATATATCGATTTTACTGTTTGTTTGTTTGTTTTTTGCTTCATTTTTCTCACTTGTTTGTCCTCTTCTTCATATCCCAATTATGTGCGCACGTATTTCTATTCAGTTAGTTGATAGGCATCTAAAATAATAGTAATAATAATACGAATCTTTTTCATTCTATTTTGTTGCTATGCCTACAGAATTTTCAGTTGGAATTTTATTTTGTTATATAATTAAATTCTTAAAAAGTGATTTTTTTATTATCGAATTATTATTGGTGTAAATGTTTCATTTCCCTTGTTATATTATCGATTTCTTCTGATATAACCGTTTTGGAATAATCAATAACTGATTTACTGGGTTTGGTAATAGTAGTAGTATATATATACTCAAGGTTCTTAGCTTTATGATTTATTCTTCGTTTGAATGCTATCCATTCTATATATGGTTGTTTAAAATCAAGCTATATGAAACTGTGAACTGATAATTGAAATTCACAGTGTTTCAGCTAATAAGGACTCTACTAAATTTTTAATTAATCCCAGATGAAATCGATGTTCTCAACTTGATGTTATTGTCGAATTTTTTTCTCACTGAAACGATAGTCTTTAATACTTTTATATATATATTTACTTCGAATGGTGTAATATCGGTTAGTTGAATCTTAGCTGGCCTCTATTATTCCATTTATCCGTTAGTGATTGTATAGAATGTTGATATTATTGCATAATTGGTTAGCGATCATTATGAAATAATAAAATGTATAACAATAATTAAAAGATCCAAAGAAAGCTCCCGGTGAAGAGAGGTACAGAAATTTTGTAGTTCAGTTACATACTAATTATATAATAAAAATATTTATGATAATAATCCATAAATTGGTTCCATGATTTACAGATTTCTCGATATTTACTGCATTATAACAGTCACTTCGGTATTGTTTGTTGAAATCTTCCCATTGATGTTTAGGACTATAATTGATTAGTCTGTTATTGGCATATGTGCATACTGTGCGGACTGACTCAATATAGCCTTAATTCACAAGTATTATATGCCAAGATGGATAGTGGCTAGCAGTAGAATCCGGAACGCACGTTTCTTTTTATTTGGGAGTCGTCAGCTGGATGTACCTGCATCTCAAAGTTAATGTTCACTCTCGAACTTGAACTCAGTATTATTCGCTTCAAACGCCATGAACATCAAATCTGAGATACAAGTACATACAGCTGACAAGTTACAAATAGAACAAAACTCGCGTCTCGGATTCCACTACTAGCCACTAGCCATCGTTGTAATATAATCTGTTTCTAAAAGGAAATGATACCACGCACACACACTGGAATTTTCTGATCCTTCTCATTTTCCTGTCAACATTTTTCATCATTTCAGTCTGAATGTATTCTAAATTTTTTTTTGCATTTGTTTATAGAATGTCATGTCTGATAAATGGTTGAATATTGGCTATGAAGATAATATTTTAAAACCATATACTGAACCACCTCCGGATTATAATGATACAGAGAGATTAGGTAAATCTTTACATTTAATACATGGGAAGGGGTTTGTAGATTCTCCACCTTTTTTTAACTAGATGTTTATTCATATAATGTTTTTTTCTCTCTAATAGGTAGATAGAGAGTGGGGGAGAAGTAGGCTGCGGTACAAAATTGATCTGGTCATCAGTGATCGTTATTTTAATACATCTATGCATAGAGACTTTATGAACGAAAGATTAACACAATAAAGAAAGTGTTTTGTATTTCTTTATCTCAAATTTGAAAGTGTTTACTATAGGCTTTAATACTACAAAATCATACTATTTATCAAGGATATCCATCTGTTTAACAATCGCAATAAACAACATTTTTGAACCAATTGTATGTAGTGTAGTATATTGGATGTGTTGTTGTTTGTTATAGTTTACCTTTCGATCTAGTATAGGACTTTTTTGCAGTTTCATCCAAAACTTAACTTGAAATCTAACACAAGACCTCCAGGTCTTGGATTATGAACTTAACAATTAGACTACTTAATCAGCCTTCAATGGTCACCGGATATCATGGGACAGCACCTCCTGACGTTGCTCCACTACCTTGTGAATCGGATCTTTAGGTTGAAGGCTGCTGGTGTGGAGCCCCTAAGAAAACCACCTGATTGAGTTTGGGTGCTCGGACAGTATTCCATCCTTCACACAAATCGAATGACCAAGTGTGGCGCATATGTATCTGGTCCCTCCTTGTTCTGATATTTATATGTTCAAATAAAATAAATAACACATTCAACAAATTCGGACTTCAATGTTAACATCTCACTAAATCTCTAAAGATTATCTAATCACTAGTGAACTCTCATTTTTTGTGTGGATCTCTCTCTGTGTGTATGTGTGTACTATGTGATTTTGTATATTCTACAAACCTCAAGTAATTACTATACTATATTGATAAAATGTATGAAATATCAATAAGATTAAATGATTAATCTTTTAGTATTTCAATCAAAATATTCTGTTTTAACTGATGATAATTGCATTCTTATTGAAAGTTCCAAAATCCATATATATTAGTCGATTTTTGAGATTGTACTATATGCATAACTAAAATAATATTGTTTCTCTTTTGAAATTGATTTTTTTTTATTAATATAATATTCATATGCATATTTATTTTGTATATGATTTAGAAATTATGCGTATTATGGGTTATCGACCAGATGATGTTCGTGAAGCTTTAATTAAACAAAGTTTTAATAATGTCACTGCAATTTATCTATTGTTAGCTGATCCAAAAACAAGATTAACTTTACCAGCTGGTAGTCTTTTTCCATCTAATCAATCAGAATCATTATATGGGACTACAGGACTTAATCATCATCAATCATCTTGTTCCGAAGGTGTTACAATTGCTGCCTCGTCTACTCCTGCTACTGTTACAGAAGATGAAACTACTTCATCATCAAAATTTCAGTCTTCTTTAGACAATCCCAATGGGAATAATAAACAGAAAACTAATCAAAATGGATTAACGTACCAGAATAAAAGTGAGCTAATTTAAATAAATGTTATATAATCAGAATTTTTACATATTCCTTTACAATTGAACATCAAATATATAGTGCATCACATATAGTATGATGGAAATATACAGATTGTGATGTAACAGTTAAATGATTAATGTTTGAATATCAAGAAATATGGTATGTAAATTATAGTGCAGGAAAGAGAGTTATGTGAAAGGTAATTATCTGTTTGACAAATATAACAAAAGATGTACAATAAATGAATTCATGGTATTCATAACACATACAATTAAAACAGTCAATTTAACACAATGGCAAAATGAAGAATTGAATACTGCAGTGCGGTTTAAATTAATGTACGAAAATTCTGATCGATACTACATTTAGGCCAATTTGGCTAACTTTGTAGATCGCTTTACATTATGATCCTCATGGTGGGGGGATAAATCACCTGAGTTGATTAAATGTTTAAAAATCGATCTATTGGATACCATCGTTCTAGTATGAGATGCCGTTAGTGCACATCCACGACTCCTCACTTGGAACTCAAACCCAGGACTTTCGGTTTCACGCGCAAACACTCAACATCTAAGCCACTGAACTGATATCCAATAGTATTAATCTCTGACTCGTATCGATCTATGATCTTGGGCCTTCATCCGTTGCGTGTGGTGGATAACTGTCTCACACCACACACGTTTTGAACTCGTCATGGCGTTTCACTAGAACTCCAAGAGTTATATTTCGAATCTAGTCAGTAGTTATCAGATGACTATTATAAATATGGGGGGTTAGTAGAAATTGTTGTATTTTCACAGTTGAAATCCAGGTTTTCAATAGTGGCCTAGTTACGATCAGTTCATGGTATCAACTGTGAAAATACTACAATCTCTTCAAATCTCTCATACTAATATTCATCTTGTGTCCTGTTATTGTAGTTAATCGATTTTTAAAATGTGACTTTCACACCATCTGGATGTGACTGTAGTGTAGTGAGCAAGAACACTTGTGGGAATAATCGGATGTATTTGAGCACAAAATTACAGAACATCTAACTAAAATCTGAGAACAATACAGGAAATACTTCATTTGCAAAATGTTAGTCAATTGTCTTAAACTCGATTGTTCCTTTTGAAAATATCGGTCCATTGTCTCAGATTTCATTGTTCCTGCATTTTCATACTAATTGCTACCGTTTCCGTTCTTCCCTTCTCGATCTTCCACTGAAATACATTCTATTCCTGACTGCCGTTATATACTACTTATGTGGATATAAATAGCTCACCCAACAGTAATAGTGAGTTGTGAAATAAAATTTACTTACAGTTTAACTGCAATCTACTAGATACACAACGTCCTGCACATGAAGTAGAAATATGTGTGGAGATAAATGTATCTCATTTATCATAAATACAGGTTTATATTATCTGTTTTACGCCACAATGTTTTATAAACGTTTATTTTCCTATCTGATTGCCGAAACAGTACTAAATGGTACCTGTGATCTTTTGTTTCATCGAAAAGTGAATTTATTATATGTGTATTTGTGGTATACACTATTTTGTGCTAGAGATTTGTGCATGTATTCCTAAAAACCGTCTTCTGGTAGTAAGTAATCAGTCCTTTATCGTATACTATACTACTATCTCATCTCATCATTTTGATAAAAACAAAGTCCATATATAAAATCATTTTTATATTGGAGGCATTATATTCTTTGAGTCTTCATTGTACACATTTTTCTTGTTGTTGAAATTCTTTCTATATCTTATGGAATGTGTATGCAAATGAATTAGGATTGTTTGTTTGTTCTTTTTTTCTTTCATAAAATTTATTCTTTTGTATTTGCTCCCTCTTTTCGTTGTTGTAGTTTTCATGTCTTATATATATGTATGCATATCAGATTTTGTTTGAGATATAGTTTTTTTGCATTGATCATATGGTGCATTAGAACAGTGAACTAATTCGTTAAGATATTGTTTGTAGTCATTAAATAATATACACTCATAGATAAGATGATTTTGAGTGGTTTCAGAAGTTTGGTAGGGGAAGATAGACTTGTCACATACAAATCGACTCCATAGTGAAAGGATGATTTGTACAAGCCCAAGAAAGAACTGATTGAGACTCTGTATTTGTAAGGTTGTTCGGCTTACATCGGGAATGTTTTGGGGATGTTATGATGTGGATATTTAAAATACGGCTTTTACTACACACCCGCTTGTGGAAGGCATCATCATTTAAGATGCCGCTACTCTTAGGGATATATATTATTGCCATCACATTATCGAATACAGTTGGGAGTGCTCTTTCTCCCTAGGACCATGAATTTACTGGGGTGCTAGGACCTAGAGCAATTGTTTTAGCTAATATAGCTCGACTGGGTCATCAAGGCACACAGTAGCAACGAACTTGTCAATTTAGCAGCTACATTACTTTCACAAATTCCTTTGAATCTTAATCGTAGATAATGTGACAAACACAAGATCGTGTAACTCAAAGTCAACTATATTAATTTGCTAGCAATGTATATATATATAATTGACGTGGTAGCTGAATAGTTCCAAGTTATATCACTATTAAAAAATCTATTTTCATCTTTGCATAATTTCAAATAGATGAATTCAATTATATTTCATTGTGTTACTTATCAATCCAACAAGCATTAGTATACTTACCTACTGTTTGAGTTATACACATTTCTCAGTTATTGATATTACATAGATGTCTGGAGCAAAATCGATGAAATGGGTTCGAATCCATATAATTTTGTTTGTTAACTATTAAACAATTATCTCTCATTTAAATCTAATGCAAAAGTCAATAATTAATTATACGGTTTTTGAAGTACTCAAATTATTCATTGACTCAAAAAGAGTTATAATACTAAAATTTTACCTAAGACTACAATCCTGTGCCCGGGTTCGACATGTCATCTTCTTATTGAACTAATTTCAATTGGAAATCTGATATTCAAAGGTGTTATCCTACTCGAATCAATAAAGGGACCTCTCTGTTTAAGGTAAACGAATTAAACTGAAATTTCAATCAAAATATAGACTCATTTGTTCAACAACAAGCTTATATTTTATTAGATAGAAAGAAATGGAATATATCTTGAAATTTTGACTAATATCAACTAAATGATTAGATTTTTAATGATTTGCAATTTTAAATGATAAACTACACTCATGCTATTAAATTATAGAGATACCACAGAATTCGCTTTTTGAATGACATATCCTGAGGATATATCAGATAAACATACAAATACCAACATATGTATATATATTATTTATTTGAACACATAAATATGGGTACAAGAGGGCACCAAATATATATGCGCCACACTTTTGTATGTAGTCTGTGATACTGTCCGGGTGCCCAAAAAGCAGCAGGTGGTTATCTTTGAGGGCCACACCCGGAGCCTTTGACCTAAAGTCTAAACCACAAGGCAGTGGAGCATGTGAGGAGATGCAGTCCCATGGTAGCCGGTGACCAACGATTGGTTCATACGCCATTTGTTCCCGCAGGATACTGGAGCCCATGTGCACCATTGGTTTGGGATCCGGTCAAAGCCCCGGACATTCGCTTTTTGTCCTCTCATTTTCGTAAACAACACCCCTGGTGTGAGAAGGCAGTGAGTAGGACTTCACTGGCAGAGGCTGCATACGCGTGGCCATAAGAGAGCGTTTCGAAAGGGAGGGCGAGCCCACCCCACTCACGGCCATACCGGGGCATTTTGGGGCAAATACATATATATATATATATATATATATATATATATATATATATATATATATATATATATATATATATATATATATATATAGCCAAATCATCGTCAGTGGAAGCAATGAATAAATTGTTTGTTTGTTTGTTTTGATTTCCTGAATAGTTTTAAGGTTGTATTAAAAGTTATTTTGAAGTGGACATAGTGGAGGTTCCATTGAAATAGTCTTTTATCCTATATTCACTCTGCTTACTGTGTTAACATTTAATTTGCATAGCTAGAACCAATTTATAACGCATTTTTGTATGATTTCAACTTTTTTTTCCTTGCGAATTTTTCATACTTTTATGTAATTCACTTGGTCTCCACACACACACACACACATGCACACATCGATTTCTCAGAGTATATAAAACAATTTATCCATTTATATTATCATTTATTTAATTGTTTTTTAAAATATTAGATACATTTGATCGATAAAATTTATTTTATTTCTATGGCAAAGTAACAACAACAACAAAAATATATTCTTTTCTCTTTATTATACATACTCGTTTACTCTTTCCCTTTCTCTCTCTCTCTCTATTTCTGGCTATACGATCGAAAAAAATGAGTTAATATTTTCAGTTTTATTGATCTGATTCAAAATATAAAAAAATTCTGATTATTATTTTTGTTGTTATTATGCAATTGTTCTCATTTTGGCGTGTGTGTGTGTGTGTTGAAAATTACAAGAACTATTTAGATGAAGTTTTTTTTACATGTTTATATCGTTTTTCTTTTTTTATTGATTTGTATTGATTATCAATACATTACATAATGATTATTGTTATTCTATAATTTATCTAGTATTTTCTGCTTTTCTCCCCCAACCTCTAACTCTTTCTTTTCCTGAATATTATTAAATGTTGTCGATATTCTTTCTTGCACTCATAACAATCATGTATTTCATTAGTAATTAATTGTAAGAGATAATTCTTTGAATTTTAATGTAAATGTATCACCAAGGGAGTTCCGCTTAAGTGAATGTGAGGCAGTAATTTATCAATAATAATATTGAAAGATGGTTCATTATTATGAATTGATTGTAATCGATTATGTTGACCATTAAATGTTATTTCGTTGTTTTTGAACACTCGACTCAAAACATAAAAGTCTTGGGGTTATTCCCTGGTGCGTTTAGGATATTTATTGCTGAAGAGTCTCATATTAAATTAAAACATGCTCATTCCATGTAGTTGAATTCTTCACATGAATTGTAGTTAACTGACTCATTTGATCCTAT